TGCCAACCTTACTTAATGCACATTGTCATCATAATAAATACTGTACAGTTTTTTATTTAACTAATTAAAATATCTATCATTCTACAGTATTTTATAATTAAATTCTAATTATTCTAATTAAATTATAATTTACTAGGTCATATATTCTTAATAAGTTATAGTGTATATTTATAAACATGATAATTTCTTGTAAATGAATTTAATTAAAGTAGTTTTATAATAAATATTTATGTATGCATTTACAGATAGTTAAATATATTCTTCAAGAATATCACTTGCGTGATTATTATTTAGCATAGTTGTGATATATAAATAGTTATTTGTATTCATCAAGATTTGGTAGTAACAGGTTCTATTTCTTATTTTCATTTTCATTTCCAAATGTATGCTTTGATTTGAGATAATTGCACAACACTACAGTATACTGTACTGTCATAATTACAACTGAAAATTTAATGTTTTAACAAAAAATCCACTTAAAACACGATTAGAATGAAGTTCTTAAAAATTTTATTTAAAGGGGTCGTAAAAATTCATTTACATTTGTATTAAAAACAATGTTTGCAAATTATTTACTATTATTAGAGTTATTGTGGTTTTCATTATTAGAAAGTTGTGGTTCACTGGAATCGTTGTCCTCTGTATTGATGCACTTCCAGAGGCCATACGTTTTGCCGACAGTTGTCTGCCATAGCCGTAGAGTGCCGTCTTCACTACCGCTGGCGTAGAGTTCGCCGTCGGGCGAGAATCGGACGCAATGGACGCCTCCGAAGTGTCCTTTGAATGACTCTAAACACCAAACAAAACAATTGAGTGCCAAATGAAACAACAAACAGAGACTGCAAACCGATTTCGTTGCCGTTATTGTAGTCGTATTTATACATTTTGAAGTCCTCTCCCCCGCACACAAACACACTTTTGTCCGGATGTAGTGTCGCCGACAACACTTGAGTCGGAATCTTAAACTCTTTCACCGTTTCCATGGATTCCATGTCCAAAAACATCACATAATTTCCGTGACAAATGGACAACAGCTTCGAGTCGCGCGAGAGTTCAATACTATAGGGAATTGTATTGAAATCCAATTTCTTAATCTCTTGTTTGGAGTCTTTGTCCCAAAATCTGATGGTCTTGTCTTCGGAAGCGCTAACCAGTGTTTGCGAGTCGTTGGCAAACAAGACGTGACGAATGGACGACGTGTGACCACTGAACACAATGGGATCTGTTGGTGACAACCATTGCAGATAACAATCTGTGTTTATAATGGCATCACAAGTGAGTCCATACCTGAGTCTATTTGGTTGAGATCATAGACTCGAAGCAATTTGTCATTACTTCCGGTCACCAGATAGTTGTCGTCTGAGCTGAAGTCCACACTCTTAACGATATGCGCGTGACTTAAGTTATGCAACTCCTGTCCCGACACGGCGTCCCATATCTGTCCAAACAATCACATAATCAGACATCAAATCAATTCAAACCAATTGTATTGAAAACAACTTTAGCGCAAAAGTCGGCGGCGCCGGTGGCGGCCCTCACACTGTCACCACTCAGGGCTACACCCCATACGGCACCTACAGGTGGACACAGACACAGACAGTCAGACCATACATTCAATGGCCAATACATGACAACCTTTGTGGCCCTCAAACGTGCCAATCCAGTCACCGGTGTCTCCCTTCCGAAGCATTGGTTTTCCATCTGCCGAAGACATGCATGATATGGATAATGGTTTACAAATCAATTACTTCGAGACAAACCTTTGGAGGCAGAGATCAAGAAGAAGCCGTTGGATGTGATGGGACTGAACTGCAAGTGAACCACAGGTCTGGTGTGTCCGCTACAGGTCAGTGGTGTCTGTTTGAGACTTGTCATCGTTGATGGTGGCAGTAGATGGTGATGATTGTGACCACAAACTGATGGATTGAGTAACAGATGTGAAGACTATGCGATAGTATTCATACAAATATGATGTGATATGCGGTCTGTGTTTGCAAACAGAGATCCAATGCTCGCATTCATGCAATGCATGAAACAACGAGTGGAGCATGAACTAAACACAAGCCCTTAAGGGTTCACTGCATTCACTATTACCTTGCTATTACCTTGCTCATCTATTCTCATCACCACTCACTCAATACACTATAGAAGTGACCATTCATTGCGATTATGCATTACCGGTCAATATAAAGTGTTTTATTGGTGAAAATAATCCGGTTTCATGTATTATGATTATCATATTGCACTGCGATAAGCATCAAATTTATAAATTGCAAACTTTATCAACTTTTAAACAAAATAGATTACCCGGTCACAATTGCCGGTATATTTATTTAAATGTAGGTAACAAACATAATGAAATACTAAATTTACAAAATATATGTTTTGTTTTGAACATTATTTAGGAATATTGAAAGTGCCAATTGGGATCTCTAATAATACAGTATATAAAATGATATAAAGTTTATAATCTATGATCTATTGTCCAATTTTGGATAACAGGTCCAAGAGAACCGGATTCGATGAGTGATTAGCCTTTTGTCTTAAGTATTTGATAGCAATTTCCTGTAAATACAGTAAGAAATAAGTTAAGCAAATAATTTGTATAATTGAGTGAATGTATGACTGACTGATCGCTTGATATCGGGCGAAGAAGTCTTTTTAGATAATTGCCATAAATTGATGAGAAGTTTATGCATTTGTCTCACATCGCCGTGAGATATGATCCGACAAAACAGCTCCAAAGCCAGGGATGACTGTCTTTTGTATTGCTTTTACAAATTAAATCAAATATATTATTATTAATAATAATTAATAATTTATTATATCATTTGAGTAAAAGAAAAGTTTTCATGGATTACCCCTTCATCTGCCAATAGTTTTAGGTATTCTAAGAGATCGTTCAAAACGGATGAACTCAAAGAACTTATTTGATCCATAAATTGACTGTCGTTTCCGTATAGTGTGTCGTTTGAATCGACTATTAATGAAAAACTTATTAATATATAAAGACACAAACTAATTATAATTTGAAATTAAAAACTAAAACTAAATTAAAAACTAATTATAAAGGTAAAAATAATTTCAAACCTTTGCTGATGTGATATGGATATGACTCTTGTGGAGCAGTTGAGAGATAATTCAAGCAATTGATTAAAATGTATGCTTTTGTGTCAGAATTTGCTTCAAATTGTCGCTCATTTATCACATTTAATAGACCTTTGAATAGATAGAGAGGTTCGGGACCATCAGGATTATCCTATCAATGAATTTAAAATGGCAATCAATTTTGGATCAAACATCAAATGAGTGGTCAGTACTCACGGGAACTATTAATAAGAAGGACAACAACTGAGAGATATATGACAAGAGGAATGGTTCTGTAGATTTGGGTCGACCATCACTGGACTCTATTTGTTGGGGCAACTGTTGGATCAGAGTTATGGCAGTCTTAAGAAATGAATCCGTTTGTGGAAGACATCCGTTTATTAGTGACACATAACTGCTGGATAAGTATAGCTGAAGACGTAGTATCACGTCATCGAGTGATGGGATTGTGATGAAAGAGTAGGCAATGCAAGCCCTGACAAACGAGTTGGTCTTCTTAGTGTGGAAGCCCTTAACAATACGTCTCGTTTCCATCGCAAGTGTATTCACCCTTTGCACCAAAAAACAAAGAACTGATTCCAGATTACAGAAGTTGGCTCTCGAGTCGACATAAAAATTTAATTCCGACTCAAAGTCTCCGCCAAAAGAAACGCGTTTTAAGAATGAAATGACTAATTGAGAGATTTGTCTTCTCTCGTCCTCCAGAGTCAGGGCATTCACTGAATCGTGTAATGCTTTGCACAGATATGTCATGGAATTTAGTATCACTGGATCTGATGTGGTGACCAACTCTTCGTTCACCTCTTCAACGGATGGATTGAAGTTTTTGATGAACGAGTCGACAATGGCTTTGCAGGCGTCGAATTTGACCGATTCTTTCTGAAGTAAATCCAAAAATGGCATAAAATTATTCATCGCAAAGAGGGCCGCGAAGTCGGGGTTTGGACTCTGAGTGACCACTTTGGACATGAGTCCAACCAATTGGTTGTAGTGCTGTTCAAAGGCTCGGTTCGGTTGCATTCGTTTGATTATTTCGCCTAAAAGTGTATTAATCTCTCGAAGTGTAAAATATTTCACAACGAATTCAATCCAAACTTCAACACAAGCCATATATTCAGTGTTTTGCTTGAATTTATTTAATAGTTTCCAAACTTCGTTCAGAATTTGAAGTTTTTCTTTGTCCTCCAATTCTATAATAAGATTGTGTTTGGAAACCAAAGCAATGCCTAAATTCCTAATTAATACATATTTGGGATAACCGGAAGAGTCACCAGCCGTTGCCTTTCCGTTCACTCTTTTGATTAAATCGAGAAATTCTAAGGCTTTTGATGCAATCAATTGGGACGGAAAGCAAGTGAGCAGTGAATTGAGTATAAGTGCGGAACAGCTGTCGTCAAGACTGTTGTTAGAGTTGTCTTCAAACTGTTTGATAGTTTCGATGAGAAGACCAGTCGATGCCTTATATGCGATGCAATACACGATCCAATCCAACGCCGGACTAAATAAAGTATAATAGACTGAGAGTTCAATCCTTTGAGCACTCAGTATATGATCGGTGAAAGTCGGGGACAGCTATCGATATAATCATAATTTAAGTGACATTTACTTCAAACTATTAAATGAATGCTTAATTGAATACCTGATTGAGAGACCGAAGAAAGTCATTGAAATTGTTCTGAAATATATGCTTAGATTTGGGTGCGATTTGGACAGTGATCCTCGAGAGGTAGGCTCTGGCGTAGACGCTGACCAATGGGTCTCCGATTCCGCGAATCATTTTTGTCAATCGCTTCAAAGCCCTCTCGAATTCCGTTTGGATCTCATTCTTGTCGATTAAAAAGCCATAGACTTTCAAAATAGCGGTTTCGACATAAAACCGGGGAATGAGTTCCCGAACGGAAGCGATTTTGTAGAACCAGTTCCGACAGGTCTCTCGCGCCGACTCGATGGCCGCCGCCGTTGAGCCCGCCTTGCAGTGGATCCGTTTGTAGACCAATGAACCGAAATTGTCTAATATATCGGTGATTAACACAAACTTTGACGGATAGAACTGAATGACTGAGACATCGGCTAAGAGTTTGGAGCACTGGATGGCTATCTTCAAGGCCTTCACCCTTTGGTCCGAATTCCAGGACTCGTGAAGAGCGACATTCAACTCATCGATTCGGTTCACGTATTCGGTTTGAGTCAAGTTCAGCATCTCTTTCACAGAACCCTCCTCGAAGTCATCCAATTGTTCCAATCGGTGACGAACTTTGTCTGTCACTGAAGTATTGCCAGAACTTCGAACTATAGAAGTGCTGCCACTTATGGCCGAACCGCTGAGGAATGATGTCTTTATTGATAGCCTCTCAGAAGTGGTGTATTTATTAAGTATCGAACTCTTCATCGAAGACCAGTCTTCAAAGTCTTCTCCTATGAAATCACTTGTCATTTGACTCTCTTTTGTCAAAGACTTTGGGTTTTTATCCAATTCTAGTGAAGATTCCAAGGGATGGCTTTCGGTCTTATTCTGCAGACTTAAAGCCATCGAAAGCGGATCCAAACCATTCCAAGAAGTGTTGGTTGGCTTCACTTCATTGGATTTGTTGGCCGAAGAAGTGTTTGTCTTTAGTTTCTTGGTTTCTGTTTGACTCACAACTAATGGCTTCAATGGATTGTCGACCACTTCTTTGGCCGAACAATACTTCCCAATGAGTTCTGTCTTATAGTTCCTCTCTTTTGGATACCTTTTGAGACAATAAATGACTATTTGGTCACTCAATGAGACATTCAATGCTTACCAATTCATTGTGACATTTGGTGGGAGGTATCCACTCGTGAGGTATCACTCGTGTCATACAGTCATTCAGATTGTCATTATCAGCTGACACTGGCTCAAGATATAGTTGGATGCGATTAACCGATTGCAACAACAGTTCCTGATCAATATAGCCAATACCCAAATGACCTAGCACAGTCAGCCAAATAATATAAATGACAGTATATATTGTTCATACATTGCATATAATATTCTGTGGTATACTGTGGTCTACTGTTAGGTGTGAATGCATTACAAAGTGAGGAACACTCGCGAGTATAATAGTGGCGCTCCTTTCAAATGCTTGCGTTTGTTTCAATCATATGAAACAATAACCAAGGGATCACCTTGCATATTATTGCATATTATCGCATTTTATACCAAAATGGAGTGTGCAATTTAAACGCAGTAGAGGGTATCATTAATATCCAGGTATTTTTAATGATATTCCATTGGAATATGTTATACATAACAAGATGTTTGTGATGATTGACAGAAGACCACAATATGTACAAAATATATTACTATACATACCTTACTGTACATAATAAATGTATGTATGGATAGTCACTATATTATAGTGTATATATTTGGCAAATATTAGCAAACAATGTACTGATTGGTGAGTCACACGAATACAAAACAACAATAACTTAAAGACAGAAATGTTGTGAAATAGTTGTTCACAAAATTTACTTAATTTTTAGTCACATTTAATACATTGTCTGTCGAGTCATGGAATCGATAAACGAATTGCATATTTGTTTCGATCGTTGGGTTCTTACAGTAAAAAGCATTTATTTATTTAGATCTTGAAATTCATACGTTTTTGTTATTATGTTTGGTTCAAAGTGTTGGTCATTAGCTCACAATCGAAGGCTACAAAAGTTACAATCAATTGATAGTTTGTATTGAGTTTTTAAGTTCATGTGTTTGTGTTTGATATTCAGATTCACATAATTGTTGCGATGTATGGCTAGACTTGAGGGGGTAGTGGACTAGCAATTGGTCTTAAGAAGCGATATATACTTAAAAGTTGAGCGAAAGGCACAGTCGGGTAACCACACAAACCCTACCAGTAGTTCAACTGATTGTGAAATGAATGGAAAATATATTTGGGAAAAGGTATCTAAAAATTAACAATTCATGGGTTGAGTACTTGTTTTGTGAAAAGGTTTGCAATAATTTTAAATAAAGTGAGGAATCGTTTTCAATTAAATTGTTTTGTATGCTTAGGAATCAGTTGCGAACAACTATTAACATAGTTTCCATCGAATCACTAGTTCTTAGATTTTTTTGTCATAAAAGTAAGAAATCATTAAATAATAATTTTTACAGCTTTTAAAAAACATTTCATACAAAATGTGACCCAAACTGCAAAAGGCTTTATAAACAATTGTTTTTCTCTAAAACCATATGTAATAATAAGTAGCGGTTTGTTTGTCATTCATTTACAGATTGCCGTCATTTAGTCGTTTAGGTCTTCATCACGAGTCCATTACTTCCCGTTTTCACCGCTCTTTTCGCGACACAGTTTGAAGCCATTGGTTCCGTCGGGACCTCTGGGGTTACGGATAACCACAACACGCGGACCCGTTTCCTCCACTTTGACGCGCGTCAGTCGCTCTGGTCGTGCCGTTTGTGTCTCTCCGATCTTCACTATATTACAGGCCGAGTATTTGCCCGTCCGTTGGCTGTGCAGCACAACAAACTCCACCGAATCTCCCGGCGCTAGGTTTGAGTTGTTCTTCACTTCCGACATGTGGAAGAATATATTGCTTTCGTTTTCATAACTTAAAAATCCAAAGTTTCCTTTTATGCACTCAACGGTTCCCTATATTTGCCAATTATAACAAAGTTCATAAAAGCGTTGTTAGTGTTTGTTTGGCATTAACCCGGCGCTAATGGTTAGCATTTACCTGATGTTTGGTACGAATGGGTCTGATATGAACGGCGCGGTGTTTGTCTGCGGCCACATTGAAGCCAATCTGGAACTTAACGGCGTCTCCCTTTTGGATGAATTCGTTGATGTCTTCGAGTGAAATCATACTAAACTCGTACTCTGTCTTAGCGTCGCCTTCGGTGCTATTAGTGGCCGAATCGGTGGCCACACGTATTAAACCCGTGTATTCATTCTGTTCGGGATTGAATGTCCGCACCGTTCGTATGACTACACCCGACAGTACTTCGGGCTGTACTTCATCGGTCTGTTTGCGAATTGACTGACTCTTACGGACCGCGAGAGCCGTTAGCTTTGAATTCTTGAACGACGCGTTGTATTCAACCACTTGTCCCAACTCTAAGACATCGATATTCCCGTCATAGACACTGTAGTGAAAGAACAGTTCTCTTTGTCCGTCTTCCGTCTCAATAAACCCAAACGAGTCCTTCAGTGCGACCACTGATTTAATGACAAATAAATGTTATAAACATAAACATTAGGATTGAATGCAAATCAAAACACATACCAAACCCACGACTCGAATATTTGGTTCCATTCTTCATGTGAAGAGTATTTCGGGATGAATTCGATAAGACATTAGCCTTAATATTGGAGTCTTTCTTCATTTTAGGCACACTTTGTGTTTGCGAGTCATAAGATTGATTATTGTCTTCATCGAGGGATTCGTTAATAACCATTGGTTTCAAGGGTTGTTGACTGAAAGGGCGGTCGTTCTCGTATTGGGAAGCATTGGTCAACAAATCACTCGATTCGGACAAATGGGTTCCGATGTCCAACTGAGACAGGATTTCAGACCAGGAATTGCTTTTAGCGACGATTCCGTCCGAATTGCGGCCGTTATATGGTTTCGGAGCGCACTTCTCGTCATTCGATGTCCCGTTCCTATCGTTTGCTTCAGGGTTTGTAAAGTCTATTAACGGGAAATCATCGGTCTTTCCAAAGTCGGTGTCGTAACCATTGACTTGATAGAAGTCATCGTAAGTGTGCGGATAAGTTCCGTTTGAGGGATGCTTTTGCACCGGAAGTTGTTTCACAGGAGAGAGAAGATTCTTGAATATAGTTCCGTCTGGAAGTAGTTTAATACGTAAAGCTTGGAGTCGACCCACGGATGACTGGTCGGGGCCTACAGTGAACTCCACCTCATCGTTTAGTTTAAGCGATAGGTTTGGGTTAAGCATTTCGCTGACCCGGAAGTACACTCGAGTCCCCTCTCTGTTCCAACACTTAATGAAACCGTAATAATCCTGTAATAGTGATGGCTTTGCGTCAATTCACTTGTTAACTACAGTTCCGTTTATAACAAACCTTAAGTGCGGCCACATATCCCTGTTCTCTATGTTCTTGGGTTACAGTGAAAGTGTCTTCCAAGAGATCAACTCCTGAGGCGTGTTGTAAGCCATCCCTGCGATCAGTGACCACTTGGAAAGTGACCAAATCGTCGCATTTGAAACTATATTCTCCTCTGACGTCGCGTTCGCCGAACGGTATTTCAATGTCTTCATCGTTTTTGTTGTTATAGGCTATCCGTCCGGGAAAGGGTTCGGAAGACGTTCCAGACGGTAGTGTCGATTGGGATCTGGAACTTGAACTCGAACTGGAATGGGAGCCGTTCTGACGGTCTAACGTCTTAATGATTCGTCCGGTAAACCATCCGTCGGACACATCCTCAAAGACCACTGAACCGGGAGTCAGTTTATTGACACTAACCGCCACTTCTTTGTTATTACGGCTTTGGATACAGAAATCCACGTCATCTCCAAGAACTAAGTCTTTGAAGTCTTTACATTCAGAGGAATGAAAAAATATCTGTAATAAAGACAATAAATTTAAGAATCATTTGGTTTCGAAAATGGTTTCGAAAAATACTTCTTTGACGACATCGGAGCGCTCTATGAATCCAAACGACTCTTTCAAAGTGCAAACAACTCCGGAGTGCTTCTGAGGAGTGGCGATATCGAGCTTCACGTGACGGGCCCTTAAGCTGCCGCTCTTATCGGTTCCGATATAGAAAGTGACGCTATCTTTAGAATTGAGGTTTTGGTTGTCTTCTAAGTCATCCTTAGCGAAGGGTAGGAAAAAGCATTCGCCTCTGTTCTCGTAGGCGATCCTCCCCTCCCTCTCGGATGTCAACTCTGTGGTGATGAAACCGGTCACTCTCTCAGTAGTCAACTCCTCGGCCATAAAGGCCTCGTTTGTGATCTTCACGACAGAACTGGCGATGGGTTTGCCGGTCCTCCTGTCATAAGTCATCTCAAACTCAACCGGATCTCCAAGTTTCAAGTGCTCGATATTTCCCGAGTATTGACTATCAGTGCAACCAATCATATGAGTGAATTAAGCAAATAATCACTAAATCACTGAATAATACCTGTAGTGAAAGAAGAGTCGCGCCTGTCGTTCGCAACACTGTATGAACCCATAAGAGGCCAACTGAGGGAACAATGAATATAAGCATACAATTAGATGTGATGGGAATGGTATGTTTGGGACACGACTGACCAGTTTCTCGACAATCCCGGCTTCTCTGAAGCCTTGTGTGGCACTCGTAGAAGAATTGGAGGAATCGTTGTTGGAGTGATTGCTTTGATTGCTTTTGTTTGCAAATATATTACTATTATTAGGCGATGAGACCGATGAACGACTGGTGCAGACATTCACGTTTGGGTTTGCGTTGTCGTGATTCGAGTGATTCGTGTGATTGTTTGGCAACTGGAAGGCCTGTCGGGTAGTCATACAATGAGATACAGTATATGAATGGCTAGTAATGGCACATACCTTCCACGGCGGACTATCCATTAGTCCAGAATATATATCGCAATGTAATTCACAGTCAGTTTCGAAAAAATAAAATTTACTTAAAGTTAAGCCAACTTTCAGTCGACCTCTGCTTCGTTTGGATTACAATTCAATGCAATTATTATTAATATTATTATTTAGATTATTAACCGATATTTCATATCATAATATAAATATCAAAACATGTAAACAATGGCCCAAATGTATGACTATTTTGGAGTTGCGTTTGTGTCGAGACTTTTTGTTACTTTAGTTAAAACTTTTTATGCATTCATTTACAGTGAAAACTAAAATCTATTAAAATAAGTGTTTGTTTCGAGCGTTGCTTTCAATAGTAAATCAATGAGTCTTTTATTGCCTGAAGTTTTCAGTACTTAATCTCTTATCACTTCATTGTCTTTGCTTTTTGTGTTACTTTTTTGTTTCAGTCTTCACGTGACGTCCAGTTCTTGTCTTCTCCGGTGATGTCTTCTCTCCGTTTCTCTTCTGATGTTATTTGCTATGCATTCACACAATCAGACAATCATTTCATTAGACAATGCATTCACAGTCTATGCAATCACATCAATGGCCCCATTCAGATACCACTGTCACCGTGGGATCAGTTGGGTCTCAATTGGGACAATCAATGGTTAACTAAACTACAAGACAATCAAATGAATGGCAATTGGAGTCAACACTCAGTCCACTCATCACTCATACAAACAAACAAAAGAAACACAACTATCGCTACAATTGACACACATTTGACGCGTTCACACAATCAGTAAACCATTGATCACTGCATTGTACCGAATTACCCATTGAGTAACTACACTAACCGTAATCACCATTACTTACCCACTTACTTTTCTGTTAATTTAGAGTTGTTTGGAGCTCTGACTCCCGTGTGAATGCCGTGAATTGAGATCAATAGCCGCCATTTCTTATGTGATAACGTTGTGATAAAGTGCATAATATGCTTATGACACAGATTATAAGATGCCGAATAAGAGTTGTGATAAGTGTCGAAACAATCGTTATGTAGTTATGACAACACCCCCAACTCCGATTGATATACCCCGACTATACTTGTCATATAAGCCGTGAAAATGAATGTGAATGAACATTGAATTGTGCATTGTGTCCAGGTCATAGTGTCCAGGTCATAGTCGACTGTGAGATGACTGATGTGAACATTGCTCACACCTCATGCATACATTCAATGTGAACATTACTGCAAATGACATCAATTGACACTTGATCACTTACGGTATTAACAGGAATAGTTGCAATCTAATAGTCACCTTGGCTAGTTCATTTTTTGGTCAATATTTGAGAATAAAATGATTAAAGTATGGAAAATATGTTTGACATAAACAGTTGAACACTGCGTGCACTTGTATGTCAAGGGATGACACTTCAATAAGTTTTCTATGGACTATTAATATTGTAAAATTGTTTATTTATCATATAATTTATCATTATTTATCATATTTATTTATAAAACTTAGCCCCATATTTATTTTAATATTTAATTATTAATCCTTACATAGTTTGTAATTTGTTATTTATTTATTATATTAATGATGTGTAACATAACTTATGTCCATATATTATTACATTATTAATATAACAATTAACTCGATATTCAATTTGCAATAAATATAAAACTAATACTAAATCAACAAAAATCATGAGAAAACATTGATTAACAATTGAAAACTGAATGTGTAGTCAAAGAGGTGTTGAGAGGAACCAATAAAATAGCAAAAAATAGTTGCTTTCATTCATTGGATATCAAATTGTTTGAGATTTTGGAGAGAGTTGTGGAGAACGGAAAGCATGTCTTTGGCGACAATGAGCTGCGATTCGGCGAATCTCCTCATATTCAGAGCAATGGCTTCAATGCGCTGTCTGTGGAAGCGTTTGACCTCTTGAGCGGCCACTTCACTGCACTCGTCGAAGGCCTTCTCAGCCGCGAGTTTCGCCTCTTCGGCCTCACTCTTCTTCGGAGGTTTCGCTTTGTCTAAGAGTCGGTTGGAGTTCTCGTACTCGATCTGAAGGCATGTGCGCCGGAATAGCATAGCTTTGTGCGACTCGTGATATCTGTGCCAATAGTGCAGAGTATTGCCGAGCGTTGTCTCGTCGTTATGCGACACCACATCCAAACAGTGTCTGTAATCGTCGAGTCCTTTGGAGAAGAGGTTACAGAAGCGGACGCCCACTCGAGACACGCCCTCGTCATCACATAAGTTGAGGTTAAGGGCGGCCGACAAGTGGGAGAGTATTTCGCATAACTTGCGGCGCCCGTAGATTATGGCGTTCAGTGACTCCGACGACTCTTTCAGATGAAGAGTGTATTCGTTGACGAAATCCCTTTCCTTCTGAAAGAATTCGTCGCAATCCTTGTGACTGTGTTTCCAGTTGTCAAACGAGTCGCTGATTCTGGACATCAATGCGAACCCCTTCTTGAGCTTAGGTCTGGGCAGCGGTTCCTTTCGGGTGAGGAATGTGTCCAACACTGGGTTGAGACCAAACACGGGATGTCTGATCATCAGACGGATGTAGTACTGGAGAAACCAACAGTCTTTGCTGAACTCATCGCCAATCAGTGTCTTAGAGTCTGCGCCCAACTCTTTGCGCGACTTCTGGTGAGCCAACTCGGGTTCGATGGCCGGCCGGTCCGGAAGGGGAGGTATTATGAGGCCATCCGTCTTGTGGGCTGTGGTGAGGCAGTGGTGAAGGTATTCAAAGTCCTCGTATTGACGCAAAACCACAAACTTGTGTTTGTCTTCAGCTCTGGTCGTCTCTATGCTAATCATAACCACATTTCCGTTTTTGGTGACATTAGTGCCCAAAAACACTTCATATCTGCTCTCAAATGGACACAACTTTTCGGGCGAAGAGTTCGATGAAGCGATTGATCTGTCGTTCTCATCGTCTGACACACCATTGGATTCAATGACTAAAACGTTGACTCGTGTCGAGTCTTCCAGACTCTGGTCAGCCATGGGAAGCAAACCCTGATCTAAACCACTATTAGACACTTTGCTCACCTGTTAGTCTACTTACAGTATTGCTCAGGTGTTTTCCCCGCCTTTAATTTACAGACAAAACCGCCGTTACGACAGTTACGATAGGATGCTATCACTCATCAAAAATCATATGAAATGCGAAACCTTTTCAATGATCAAGTGATTCAACGACTGAGCGATCATTTGCTCACAAATAGTGTGTATTTTCGTACGAAATGTGAGTTTTGTTTGCTTTTTGCCAAATGTTTGTCCATTTAAGCCGTAATTTGTTTCGCAAAATGTGTTTATGTTTTGCGTAAAACACGTGAAACACATGTTTTGCAAATAAATTAAATTGCGTTCAAAGTTATCATTGTTTGTGAATATCAGTGACAATGAGTGACACAATGGACGCTAAATCCAAACGTGTCAACTAGATGTTTAACTCCAGAAAACCCTACTTTGCTCACTAATTACAAACCAAACAAAACGTCTCTTTTCACAACTCGCCTTCTTCTTCTTCGTCAATAACTCTGATTTCTTCAGTGCTTAATAAGTGAGAAACTTGTCGTTCAAAGCAAATGAAGACATCATTAGACAGGCTTTCAGTAAGTTTGGAGAAATCGTCGAAATCAATATCCCCACCAAAAGTGATGGCAAAATGTTTGGCTACTGTTTCGTCGGATTCGATGCCATCAAGAGTGCCATCCATGGGCAGTTTGTCTACTTGCGTTTCGGTGACAACCTAGCGTGGCAACGCCAGCTGAAGCGCTACCGATTCTTTGCCAAGGAGTTAGTGCTGTTGTTATGGCTGTGCTTTCTGTGGTGATTACTTCTGTTCGATTCAAGTGATAGGAAACCCAAAGACGAGGTGACTGTTAAAGAAGAGCCCGAAGACTACAGCAAATCAGATGACGAGGACATGAAAGATGAAGACGAAGAAGAGAACGAAGACATGAGCGATGGTTATGGAAGTGATGGCAGCGATGAGTCGGTGAAGAATAAGAAAATGAGCGCAGAATTGATTAAAAAGATGAACGACGCGTCCGAAGAGCGGACAATATTCGTGCGGAACGTGTCGTTTGGGACGAGCGCTGAATCACTGAATGAAATGATGAAACGTTTCGGTGAAACACTGTTTTGTAAGCTATGTGTCGACGCATACAGTGAGCACTCGAAGGGAACCCGAAAACACTTCATATTCTTGTTTAGCCTACGGCTGTTCACGAATCTCCGGCGGTTTGTTCTTCTATTGAGTCTGAAGAACAATCTGCCTTCTGTTGACTTACAGAGCGAGCGGTAGTGGTCTTTATAACTACAAGAAGTACAGGAGAAACGGTTGCTTAAGAATAGAGACAAAAGGAATCTGTATTTAGCCAAAGAAGGGCTCATATATCCGGACTCACCCGCGGCTGAAGGCGTCTCGCAAACAGATCTCGCGAAGAGATTAACAGTTAGTCTATAATTACTGTCATTTAAGTATATTTTGTAAATTAACTCAATTCTCATTTAAAGCTCGAAACCCGAAAGAGAAAAACACTTCAAAACACTCATTACTTCGTGTCTGACACTCGTCTTTGTGTCCATAATATTCCACTTAATTGTGATAACAAACAGTTGAGAGATATTTTCATGAATGCTGTCAACGATAAGAACGCAAGAATTACTGAGGTTTGTGTGAATTGATGGCAATAAATATCCCGATTATTATCGTAATATTTGTTTTGCATATAAAGGCGAGAGTTATGTTGGATCGGCTCAAGAATGACAACAAATTTGGTAAATCAAAAGGATTTGGTTTCATTGAGTTCGCCGAACATATTCATGCGCTGAAGGCATTGAGACAATTGAATAACAATCCGGACATCTTTACGCCTCAAAAGCGACCGATCGTTGAGTTTTCAGTCGAGAATAAAGTGGCTTTGAATAAGAAAAGGCATAGAATAGAAAGGGATAAGAATGGAAAAGGAGGCGATCGTCAAAATGGAAAGGGAGGCGATCGTCAAAATGGAAAGGGAGGCGATCGTCAAAATAGAAAGGGAGGCGATCGTCAAAATGGCAAAAACCCCGATCAGTCGAACCAAGATTTAGCGGAACAGTCAGTGAAATATAGTGGAGTTATGTCGCGACCAAACAAACTGAACGAAAAGATCTTTTGGGGCTTTCACTTATTTTTCAACCCTCTTTACGTCTTTGTTGACTTTCACTCCTTTTTCCTAAACTTCTTTTCATTCTAATTTCAGCTATTGGTTTTCGCTGTGTTTCTTTTTCACCTCTTTGGACAGGTGAATAAAAAGAAAGATTTCGAGACACAAGACGCGCATGACTTGCACTTCAAGAAAAGGAAAAACATTTTCAGAGACAACGAAGACAAGAGAGCCGTTCCGATGCCCGTTAAGAAGAAAGTCAAATGGTTTGCACAATAAGTTGCGAATTATGTGTCATGAAGAACAGTATATTTATTTGTTTGGACTTTAAAAGTGATGTAAATATCTATTTTAATTTTAAGACAAATAAAAAGTTTGTTTATCGTATCCAATGATATTGATGTGGACGACGAGCGCACGGATATCTGTTACGGTTCGACACACTTTCATATTGCCTTCAATCTTATCACCACTTTTACAGACAATGGCTTTCTTGAGAAGAAACACTGTTTGCTTCCAATGAGTGCTTTCACTGAAGGGTGAGGTCGAGAGAAGCACTTTATGTTCAAACGATTAAAAACCCCGAAAGTGAATAAAAAGTTGGGAGAAATGCAGAAACAACTGAAAGTGAGGAAAAAGGATTTGAAGAAAAGTAAGATTAAAGTCGATAACCAAAAGCGACACAAAGAAAAAGTGGAGAAACACAATATGAATAAAAAGAAAGATTTCGAGACACAAGACGCGCATGACTTGCACTTCAAGAAAAGGAAAAACATTTTCAGAGACAACGACGACAAGAGAGCCGTTCCGATGCCCGTTAAGAAGAAAGTCAAATGGTTTGCACAATAAGTTGCGAATTATGTGTCATGAAGTACAGTATATTTATTTGTTTGGACTTTAAAAGTGATGTGAATATCTATTTTAATTTTAAGACAAATAAAAAGTTTGTTTTTCGTATCCAATGATATTGATGTGGACGACGAGCGCACGGATATCTGTTACGGTTCGACACACTTTGATATTGCCTTCAATCTTATCACCACTTTTACAGACAATGGCTTTCTTGAGAAGAAACACTGTTTGCTTCCAATGAGTGCTTTCACTGAAGGGTGAGGTCGAGAGAAGCACTTTATGTTGAAACGATTAATATTGCCTTCAATCTTATCACCACTTTTACAGACAATGGCTTTCTTGAGAAGAAACACTGTTTGCTTCCAATGAGTGCTTTCACTGAAGGGTGAGGTCGAGAGAAGCACTTTATGTTCAAACGATTCCAAATCGAAGTGACAGTCAAACCATCCTATAATTGCTATCACATTGCCATCACTTCTGCAAACCAATTGGAAGTCAGTCTCCAAGTGTTGTGTATCTTCCAGAAGGCATTCCATTAAATCAAACTCTTTGATTACACAAACACTAGTATTGACCGCATCTGCAGATATGCTCTCAATTAAAGCCTCTTTCAATACTTCACTCTTCATTGAAGACATCTTGAAATCGTAGACATTATCCCAGAAGTGAATGAATCGATTTTGTAGGTCTTTGTCACTAATGCCTGCAATCGATAGAGAGGTTCGGTTGGGCAGAAGAGCACCGGAATGGTTGAGACAGTGATTCCTGGCGTAAAGGATTGAGTCTAACATTCCCTCAAACAGAAGGAAATATCCCATCCATTCGGAGATAATGATGTCGTACTTCTGTGGCAAACCGTGCGCGCACCAGTCGATGGACTCGAGTTTTTCTTTAATGAATTTAATCTTAGAGTTGAGTCCGTTTTCGATCGCAATGTCCATCGCCTTATAGACAACATCGCTGTGATCGACGGCCACCACGAGTTTGGCGCCCGCTTTGGCCGCAAATAAACTCAATATTCCTGTTCCGCAACCGATGTCCAGAACTGTCTTATCTTGAAAAAAGTTTGCGTTTTTAAGAATAGAGTCTTTGTATGAATTGGTTCTGCTTTTGTCGCTTAACATCTCGTAATGAATGGAGAAATGCGAATACGAAGAGATGTAGTTCCAGTCTTCAGATGCGGACAACTGCGAGACATTCACTGACTGATCACCGCTTACTTCTTCATTCATGCAATTTGTGACTAAACTTTTCATATCTGATATTTGCTTCTCGAGGGCTTTAATACGCTCTTCAGATTGTCTTAAGCTAACTATCAGTTCATTTTGGGATAAGTGTTCATAATTTGAATGATCACAACTTGGATCAGTTGTCAACTCATTGTCTACATCTTTGTATTGGCCCTCAATATCTGCAATAAAGATAAATATATATAAACTGTAAGAAATGTGTTAAACATATACCATAAGTGAGGAACTGGTCCAACGGTTCCCTTAAGACCGGTTTCATATACTCTTCGGAGAGGAAGTCTTTGGATGCAATCAATTGTCTCATTGAACTACTGTCTGGTCTCTTAAGTCTCGTATAATTTACAAGTTGTATGAAATCAAATGAATTCAGTTTATTATCCACACAAATGCCAATCAAATCCAAGTTATGATCACTTTTCAAGTGAACCAAACATTGATCCATTGATTTGAATGTTTGACTGCAAAAGAGACACAATGTTTGACTCGATTCTTGTGTCCAATCTTCCAGTTCTTCAGCACCGCTCCAGTCGGACGAGTCATCGCTTGAATTGTCTGCCATTAGGTATCAAATGAAATGTCTTTTGAAACCAAATTAACCGTTAATTCAATTGATGTGAACACGTGTTAAACACATGAGACAACAATACATAAGTGATGTCCAAAAGGGGCACAAAAATAGACAAAATGTAACGCTTGTAGTGAATGACTGTTACATTGTTTACTGTTTTGTAATCACAGGTCAATTGATTAGACATTTTCAGAGTTACCGTCGATGACTGTGCGATAAGATAATCGAGTGATTGTTTTGTTTCATTTGATCCATTCATTGTAAATAAGACACAATCGGAAGGAGTGGTCGACCGAAGAGATGGACGATAAGAGCTGTGACTTCAATGAACTGAACGCTTGTCTCATATCACCATTGGATGAGCGCCTGAACGGATCCAAAGAGATTATGGACACCATATGCGAGATGTCCAACATTTTGAGGACAGGTATGGACGCCGAGTGTCTCATCATTTGCTTCAAGCTCTTGGAGAATGGCGTCAATCCGGAAGCGCTGGCAAAAGTGGTCCACAATTTGCGCAAACAATCGCTGAATACATGAATCAATCCATGAATCCATTCATTGATCCATAAATCCATTCATTGATTGTATTTATTATCATTAAAATGTAAATTTTAATTCAAACCAAAACTACTTTCATTTTATTTACTATAATATATATAACAATTGCTTTTGAAGACAACTATCGCTCGAATTTGTGGTTCAAATTGTTTTCGAGAATTAATTTCTTAATTAAAACTAAATTACAATCAATTGGTTGACAATCAAAGAGAAGTCACTCTAAGGGCTCGAAAGTGTAGTGAACGACACCCGGCTGTGGGTACTGTTTGGGTTTCTGTGGGAACGACAGGTAATCCATGNATTAAAACTAAATTACAATCAATTGGTTGACAATCAAAGAGAAGTCACTCTAAGGGCTCGAAAGTGTAGTGAACGACACCCGGCTGTGGGTACTGTTTGGGTTTCTGTGGGAACGACAGGTAATCCATGTTAGGGTTAAGACAATTGAATGAATGCATGACAAGACATACCACTTGCCAGGAGTTCCTCAAATCGAAATAGGAGTCCGTTATGGAACAGACATAGAAGAACATAAATGTGCCCAAAAAGGCAGCGATCATCTGAAGACTAATGGCACACAAATGGATATTCAGTTAATCATGATTACAGTGAATCAGACATTCAGTCAGACATACGGTGTGTATCTCAAGACTTCGTTAGGATTGTGTCGATCGGATGTATAGATCTCATAGTCTTTGTGTAACTAATGTTTCATTGAATAATCATGAAATTAGTCTAATGTCTAATCAATGGTGTGTTTTGTGTCTCAAACCGGTTCGCCGAAGTTTTGTCGCCTATAGTGATAGTCGAAGTCTTCATAGGGATCTCTGGCGTCCTGACCCACTTCCTGATGAAATAATTCGTGACTTCTTTAGTCTCAATAACTGCTTCTTCTTCTTCCGCTCAACACTTTTCTCTGCAAAACAAACCAAACATTAATCACTCGTTTCATCCCAAAAGACCTCAATTTGTAGATCAACTTACGTTTGGATTTAGCGTCGATTGTGTCACTCATTGTCACTGATATTCACAAACAATGGTCACTTTGAACGCAATTTCATTTATTAGCAAAACATGTGTTTCACGTGTTTTACGCAAAACATATTATCGTTTTCATATCGATAGAGCAAAACAAAGTCTTACGTGCTGTCCAAACAATATGTCACTTAATAGAGCGAAAAACATACGTTTTGGTACCATTTATTATTAAATGTATACTTACTTTGTAT